CAATTGCCCAGATGTACATTGGAGTGGTGGTCTCCGCTAGTCGGTGACCGTGGGGAAGAGAAGGCCAAGGTGCGGATGGTGGGGACACTGTCAGGGCGGGTCGTGAATGTCGTCATGTGTCTGCAGCGCAGCCACGGCAGGATCTGGCGGAGGGGAGGTCGCGTTAGCAATGAGACGTGACCCGCCCATCATGGACACGTGTGAAAATGAGCTTCATAGCTCATCGGATTCCTCCAGTCTGAATACAGATTCTGATCAACATTCTGACTCTTGCCCCGTCACGACATCTTGATCTCGATTTCAGGATCAATACCCCAAACAGCAGCAGCAGCACAATCTGTAGCGGTGAATTATAACCTCAAGGCATGCGCTGTGCGTTGGATAGTGAGATATCTTACAGCCGAGCGGGGAGTATAAACCTGCTTAGGGCGTGGAAGGGTGACCACCACCAGGGCTTGCCAGGTGTCGTAGGAACGGCGCTACGAGATGGGACTGCTGAGCGGCACTCCCCTCGTCTGGGTGTTCTCCTGCTTCTCCTCGCTTCCTCCCCAAACGCGTAAACTAACTCTCACCACGACTGGAATTTCATTGGCGAACCTCCCCGAACGTAGCTGTACCCTCCTGAACAAGAGCCCCTGAGACTCAGTGAAGCTTTTTTTTACGGGTGAATACTAATAATTATGATTATTGAATAATAATGATGATTATTCTTCTTGGTTCTTTCGGTAAAGTCACGTAAAAGGGAAGTAATAAAATAATACAAATAAAACATAATACTTCCCTTCTACGTGACTTTACCGAAAGAACCAAGAAGATGAATCCCTGCAGTCACGAAAGCTTTAAATCCAAATTATTATTATTATTCACGCCACCGCCAATTTTAATCGGCAGTGGCATGGGACGACGGCGGAGAGAGCTCCACCCGTGGAATTCATGCGGGTCAAAATCACCACAACAAAGATGAATATCCCGCTGATGGGTAAGACTCGTTATCCGTAACGAGGCACTTAAGGCACGAGTGGCCTTTAATTGGTGACCCCGGTGACCCGGTGGTGGGAGACCTGGCGGTTGAGAGAGCCCTCTGCTTCTCATTCGCGCCCGTCTCTCCCGGCGGTGCTCGCAAAGCTTCGGGAACCGAATAACCGTCAGCTGTTTGGTGACGTGGGCGCGGAAGAGCCCCCTGACGACATTGGCACGAGTCGACGGCAAGGGGGTGTCGCCAACCCGCTGCTCCGGAGCCGCGTGGCGGCTCTTTAAGGGCCGCTGATTCGTGACAGCCGTCTCGTATTCACCCACAGTGCATTGCGGCTCTTGAAATATTGAGAGGGTTTTTTTTACTTTTACTACCGAATTCTAAACAAAATCCATCTTCTTGTTAGTTTCTGTTGCCGAACCCCTGGGCTACAGCATTCATGGCTCTCCGATGGCGTTTTGGGATTTGAACCGATATGCCTCGTACGGGGTACGATGTCCGACGTTTTTTGCCCCACGTGCTGGCAGCTTGTTCAGGAAGTTAATTTCATAAACAATGCAGAATAAAGAGGGGAGGCGGGGGGGGTGTGCTGGGTTAGATCGCGTAAATAAAAATGTGTCGTTGGACCCGCCACCACCCGACAAAGCCAATTAATAAGTTTGTCAAGTAACCAAAACGTGCCAATTCGTTACTGCTTCAGCACACCGTGGGCTTGGAGAGTAACCCCACAACATTTACAATTCGAAGACAGTGGCGCTTCGCTGGCGATAACAACAACCAACTTCATCGGGGCGATTTGCCAGAATTGTGAAGTCGTCCTCCTGTTGCGGTCCTAAATAGAGCAATGGTCATGGCATCACTTTGAGCCCATCAGGTGCGAAGACCAGGGGGAGGTTGATGGGTGGTCAAGCTTATTTATTTACGCGATCGAACCCCACGCAACCTTTACAATGGACAACTTTCGTCGAGAAAGCCGACGCGTTGAACTTGGGTCAACAACCTCCCAGCTTGGGCCGTCGGTGCTTTGATGCTTCCGGCACGTGGAGCGAAACGTCGGAGACATCGTGCCCGAACGACGCGCGGCGCGACTCGAAAACGCCGGGAGGGGGGGGGGGCGGTGCCGTGCAGCGAGATCGCCCGGGCACAGAGCGGTGGTCGTCCCACACTGGATGTGCCGGCGTGATGTCTCATGCAGCTCACACGTGACGCATCACTTAACGGCGACAATTGTGAGGAATGAGTATGCCGGTGCTGGCGCTCTCTCTCACTCTCTCTCTCTCGCTCTACGTAGCCGACAGGAACCCCCCAGGTTTTCATTGCAAATGAGAGAATGAATCTCAATGGGCACTCAACTGCTGTCTCGTGGTTGAGTCGGACGGTAAAGTGCGATCAGTGTTTATGTGACGTCGTGTTAGAGGCGCGCGTGCGTGCGCGTGTATGTGTATGTGTCATAGGTGCTCGCTAACAACACTTGCCCTAACAGTCAGTTAAGGCTATAGGGGTACATTTGTCTTTGTATCTATGTGTGAGTGTGTGCGTGATTTTGCGTGTGAGTCTAAACGTGTCTATGCATTTGTGTGTGTGTGTGCATGTCTGTATGTGAGTCTACACGTCTCTATGTGTGTGTGTGTGCTTAGTCCTGTGTGTATGTGGGTCTAAACGTGTGTATACGTGTGTGCATGGTTATGTCTGTATGTGAGTCTACACGTCTCTATGAATGTGTGTGTGTGTGCATGGTTCTGTGTGTATGTGAGTCTACACGTGTGTGTGTGTGTGTGTGCACGCGTGGAGCGGTAGTTGGTTGAAGGTGGCGCAGTGATTTGGCGCACTGCACTGCGAACCCGGCGAGCCGAGTTCAATTCCCGCTCACGACTGATAAGAGTGGCGAATATTTGAACCGTTCCTGGGCCTCCACCCGGTCGTGTGCCACAGTGCCGACCTTTTATCCATTTGTACATGTGCGTGCGTTTCAATGTATGTGTACGTGTGTGTTGCATACACACATGCATATACACGCATGCACCATGCGTGTAAATGGGGAGCGGTAGTGTAGCGGTTAGCGCTACGCTGTGCTACGAACCCGGCGACCCGAGTTTGATTCCCGCTCAGGGCCAACACCCAGTGACGATTATCTGAACCGGTCCTGGTCTTCCCCTAGGTCGACTCAGCCTCAAATTAGTACCTGGTGCGGTGTGTAAACATCGTGACTAGGGAGACAAAGGCGGTCGGGCGTGGTGCTGGCCACCCACCCCATCGTGTGCCGTTCCGACCTTCATAGGTTCTCGCGAACAGCACTTGCCCCTACAGTCTCGTACAGGCTATACGGGATATCTTTGTCTCTGTTTTTTGTATCTATGTGCCTCCCCTAGGTCGACTCAGTCTCAAATTTGTACCTGGTGCTGTGTGTAGACAAAAGCAATGGGGATACAAAGGCGGTCGAGCGTGGTGTCGGTAGCACATCCCCTTGAGCCGCGTTGACCTTCATAGGTGCACGCTCGCAGCGCTTGCTCCGACAATTTGTTAAAGCAATACGAGGAGGGATCTCTGTATTCGCATGTGCGTACACGTGTGTGTGTGTGCTGGTGTATGTGTGAGTGTGCGTGCGTGCCTAGCTATGTGCGTGCGTGCGTAGCTGCGTGTGTGAGTGTGCGTGCGTAGCTGCGTGTGTGTGTGCTGGTGTATGTGTGAGTGTGCGTGTGTAGCTGTGTGTGTGTGTGTGTGCTGGTGTATGTGTGCGTGCGTGCCGAGCTGCGTGTGTGTGTGCGTGCTGGTGTATGTGTGAGTGTGCGTGCGTGCGTAGCTGCGTGTGTGTGTGCTGGTGTATGTGTGAGTGTGCGTGCCTAGCTGTATGTGTGTGTGCTGGTGTATGTGAGAGTGTGTGTGCGTGCATAGCTGCGTGCGTGTGTGCAGGTGTATGTGTGAGTGTGCGTGTGTAGCTGCGTGTGTGTGTGTGCAGGTGTATGTGTGAGTGTGCGTGCGTGCCTAGCTATGTGCGTGCGTGCGTAGCTGCGTGTGTGTGTGTGCAGCTGTATGTGTGTGTGTGCGTGCCTAGCTGCGTGTGTGTGTGCTGGTGTATGTGTGAGTGTGTGTGTGTGCTGAACAGTGTTGCGGTTAGCGCGCTGCGCGGGGAACCCGGTGACCCGAGCTCGATTCTAGCTCACGGCCAGAACCAGTGACGATTATCTGAACGGGTCCTGGGCCTCTTGTAGGTCGACTCAGCCTCAATCGAGTACCTGGTGCGTTGTGTAAACATCGCCTCTGGGGAGACAAAAGCGGTCGGCAGCCCACTCCCTCGTGTACCGTGCCCCGCTAGACGGGGATCGATGTATTTTTCGAATTGTGCATTCAAGGTACAATCGCTACAACTGACAGAAACGTCCAAATCAGGAGTCATTATTTGTGTCAATGTCATCACGGTCACCATCATCATGACCTACAGATATCACAAATCATCATCATCATCACCATCATCATTGTTCATCATCCATGCGATGCGCTGCATTGTCGGGTTGGTGGTGATGACGACGTGTGTGTACGTGTGTGCGTGTGTGTGCGTGTGTGCGTGTGTGTGTGTACGTGTGTGTGCGTGCGTGTGTGCGTGCGTGTGTGTGCGTGTGTGTGCGTGCGTGTGTGCGTGTGTGTGTGTGTACGTGTGTGTGCGTGCGTGTGTGCGTGCGTGTGTGCGTGTGTGTGTGTGCGTGTGTGCGTGTGCGTGCCACTGTGGGTTGCACGCTGCTCATTGCATTGTCACTCTGCTGATGCGATGCTCAATGTGTCCATGTGATTTTCAATTCGTGCACGCGCATTTCTCTCTGCCTGTGTGGTTCTCTTTCCCAGCGTGGTTCTCTGTTAGTGTGGTTCCCTCTCTGTCAGTGTGGTTCTCTCTGTCAGTGTGGTTCTCTCTGTCAGCGTAGTCCCCTCTCTGTGCCAGTGTAGTTCTGTAACTTTCCGCCGTTGTGGTTGTTGTGGTTGCTGACTTGCCCTTCCCTCGCGAAGCCAACGCGTCTCTTCTTTTTCTTCTCCGCAGGGAGCTCCAGGGGCGTGTGTAAAACCATCGACCACTTCCCGGAAGACTCGGATTTCAAGGACACGGCAGAGTACTTACTCCGTAAGCGCGTCTCTATCGGTGCTCACACGACGTGCTCACGAGGGAGTGGGGGAGACGCGGCTGTCCCACAGTCAGCTGCTTCTTGACGAGCTCGTTGTGTCATCGTCTTGGCACGCTTGGCGATGTCACCGCGTGGCTAAATCGTCGCGTGCCGCTGCCAATCAGAGGCGGCGGTGGTGGTGGTGGCTTTGCCGCTGCCGCTGCTGCACGTGGCGAGCTGCACGTGGCGAGCTGCACGTGGCTAGCTGCACGTGGCTAGCTGCACATGGCGAGCTGCACGTGGCTAGCTGCACGTGGCTAGCTGCACGTGGCTAGCTGCACATGGCGAGCTGCACGTGGCTAGCTGCACGTGGCTAGCTGCACGTGGCGAGCTGCACGTGGCGAGCTGCTGTTGCCGCTGCACGTAGCGAGCTGTACGTGGCGAGCTGCACGTGGCGAGCTGCACGTGGCTAGCTGCACATGGCGAGCTGCACGTGGCTAGCTGCACGTGGCTAGCTGCACGTGGCTAGCTGCACATGGCGAGCTGCACGTGGCTAGCTGCACGTGGCTAGCTGCACGTTGCGAGCTGCACGTGGCGAGCTGCTGTTGCCGCTGCACGTAGTGAGCTGCACGTGGCGAGTTGCACGTGGCGAGCTGCACGTGGCTAGCTGCACGTGGCGAGCTGCACGTGGCGAGCTGCACGTGGCGAGCTGCACGTGGCGAGCTGCACGTGGCTAGCTGCTGTTTCCGCTGCACGTGGCGAGCTGCACGTGGCGAGCCGCACGTGGCGAGCTGCAATCCGGCACTTTGGAGGCAGCAGTGAGGCTTGGTGTGGGTCGCCGCACGGATGTTGCGCAATTCCCCCCCCCCCCCCCCCCCCCGGGCGTCGAGGAGGAGCCTTGCCCCTGGCTCGCCAGGAGAAAGGCAGTAGAGCAAGTGGACTGATCGCCATCTGTTTCCATCTGTACGGCGGAGGGGGGAGGTTAGAGTGTTGTCCCATCGCGAAAGGCGTGGGGTTTCTCCGGGTGCTCCGGTTTGCTCGCCCCACCCTCCTCAGCTATATAATCCCTTGTCAGCGCCATCTGTTTGGCATAACTCAGCAACTGTTTTCGCTGTGGTTGTCCCCCTCTGATGACGGACGCTTGTGTTGCGCCCGAAACGTCGTTATTTAATTTAGTTATTTTCATTTTTATTTTATTATAATTTGTATTTTCATCTACGTGACTTTACCGAAAGAACCGAAGAGTATTCCTCCCACACCTATAATAATAATCAATATTGTTTGGGTCTTTCGGTAAAATCACGTAGATAGGTTCAACAAAATTCTTTATTACGATAAAATTAGTATTACTACTACTACTCTCCTGTCGTGTGTCAGTGTCCCTCTACGACCTGCCCCCCCCCCATCACCAACCATGATCAATCCACTGCTAGACGCAGGTCTCCCCCACACGCCGTCGCCACCTCTCACGATCCTGCCATGTCCTCAGGCAACTAGCTGCCTGCGCACGAGTTGAATTCCTCGCTCCGTCTCCCTGAGACGGGCGTGCACTGGAATGCGATCCATCCCTTTGCTGCCACTCCGTCGTTACTCTTGACCGTCGGCTATCGAGCAATTGCGCGTCCACCCTAAGCCTCACTTCCTCACTTCTTATCAGTGTGTGCGATGGCGAGATGTTATTTACCTCGCCCGGTATACAGGAGGTCGTGGGTTCGATCCCAACCCCGACGCCTCCTGCTGTATATTTGGAGGTTGCGTGTCTCTCTCTCCCCGTGGTCGCGTAGATTTGCCTCCGGCTCCTCCGGGTTTTTTCATCGCCACATTTAGAAACATTACGCGTTTAGAGTATTTTTGCTTCTAAAAATGTCCACGTGATAAACGCACTTCGTTGAGATATCATTTGTCTCCAGGTCGCTTCTAAAAAAGTTGCTACAAAGCTCAGTGGGCCTTACCTGGTAAAACAATTATAAATAGCAGTTAAATAGTCACGAAAGCTTCAAATCAAGATTATCTGCGTATGTTCTCCAATCCACGTGTTCATCTTTTCTGTCCATGTGCATGCGTCTCTCCGTACTCTTCCGTTGTTTGTGCCATTTCGTTTGGCGAGTGTCCACGATTTATTTTTTGTTGAGAGCCGTACGCCACGGCAGGAGGCAGCGGCATTCACCGCTGAGAACTCCACCCAACCGTTGTTCACCCCTCCATGTCAGCGGTGCCACGCCGCCCCGACCAGCGGAACCTTCGTTTCTCGCGCTGGGCTGGCTTGGGAGTAAGGATTATTGGCGTAAGGCACTACCACTAGAGTACAAGCTACGCCTATCCATAATAATAATAATCGTCTATTGAGGACAGCAGGTAACTCTATGAACAGCTGCTAGCCCTAAGCCCTAATCACGTGCGTGTATTTTGCGCACGGACCACAAAGACAAAAGCTCCCCCTAATACCCTTAGCAGACTGTTGGGGCAAGTGCTGTTAACGAGCACATATGAAGGCCTCCCCGGAGACGATGTTTACACACCACACCGGCCACTCATTCGAGGCTAAGTCGACCTAGGGGAAGAGGCCCAGAACCCGGTTCAGATAATCGTCACCGGTGTTGGTCGTGAACGGGAAGCGAATCCGGGTCGCCGGGTTCGCTGGCGCAGAGCGCTCACTCACGGCGCGTGCAACGCACGCCGCTGCACCGTGACGAGGACACGCCGAGATGGAGATTGATCGGGGCTGGGCGACAAAACAATTCGAGAAGCAGCGGCCTTCCCGACTGTTCAGGCACCGAAATTCGGCGCTGCGTTCCAGGATATATCGCTGCCTTCCACCGCGGGTATTCTCTCGGAAGCGGCGCTGCGGAGTTTAGAAACACCCGGGGATAATGATCTGCGCGGGGATAATATTTCGTGAAAGGTTTCCGCAAGCCGCGTGTTTGCGCGTCGCCCAGGGCACGCGCGTGCGTTGTTTTTTTTCCCGTTGCACACGAGGTGAGTAATGATTTGTGTGGAAGGAGGCGGAGGGAGGGAGGAGCGGTGACTGCCAAAGTCTTTTATTATTCCGCTTTGTGCTGAGTGTCGCACTTAAAATTACTCTGGCTGATTAGAGCAAACATTTTCCACCAAACACGTCTTTGTCTTCCGCGCGTAAGCGCCCCGCAGAGGCCGGCGACACGGATTTTCGGGACGCGCGAGCACACAAAGACAAAGCTCCCCCGTGTAGCCTCAACAGACTGTTGAGGCAAGTGCTGTTAGCGAGTAGCAGCACCTACGAAGGCCGGCACTGTGGCACACGAGGGGGTGCGTGGCCAGTGCCACGCCCGACCGCCTTTGTCTCCCTAGTAGAGATGATTACAGGTGCTCATTTGACACTGAGTCGACCTAGGGGAGGCCCAGAACCGGTTCAGATAATCGTCACCGGCGTCGGCCGTGAGCGGGAATCGAACTCGGGTGGCCGGGTTCGTAGCGCAGCGTAGCGCTAACCGCTACACTACCGCTCCCCACATACACCCACACATATCGTGACGTTGCTGCTGCAGCTGCTGCGTTGTCAGTGCTGCACAAATACATATATTGCTCATTAATCGTCCGATAAAACCTTTATATGTAGAGAACCACAGAGCTTTGGAGGGGGGGAGGGGGTGGATTTCTGGCCGCTGCTGCTCTCCCAGTGTACCCGTCACTCGCCACGTCGACCCATTACTCCGTGTCACCCGGTGACCTCTCCCCATGATGCCTCCCCGTGACCTCTCCCCGTGACCTCTCCCCGTGACCTCTCCCCGTGACGTCTTCCCGTGACCCTCTTCGTCTCCTCGTGACCTCTCCCCGTGACGTCTTCCGTGACCTCTTCGTCTCCCCGTGACCTCTCCCCGTGACCTCTCTCCGTGACGTCTTCTCGTGACCTCTCCTCGTGACCTCTCCCCGTGACCTCTCTCCGTGACGTCTTCCCGTGACCTCTCCTCGTGATGTCTCCCCGTGACCTCTCCTCTTCGTCTCCCCGCGACTCTCCACGCGTCTCGATCCTTGTCGTCCCCCCCCCCTCCGCGTGTCTCTGCTCGCTCCCCCCCCGCCCCCCCGTGCCACTATCCTCACGCCAATGAATCACCGCGACACCTTCCCGGGTGTACCTCGCCCTTCCCCCGGTGACCTCTCCCCCCCCCCCCACCCAAGGGTTGATGCGCGCCTCCAGCATCTTCCCCATCTTCAGCGTGCTGCTGCTCCTCTTCGGAGGCCTCTGCATCGCGGCCAGCGAGATCTACAAGTCCAAGCTGCACATCGTTCTCGGTGCCGGCATCAGCATGGTGGCGGCAGGTGATAGGGCTACGACAATGATACACAAAGACAAAGATCCCCCGTATAGCCTTGACAGACTGTAGGGGCAAGTGTTGCTTGCGAGCACCTATGAAGGCCGGAACGGGGGTGGTGGCCAGCACCACGTCCGACCGCCTTTGTCTCCCCAGTGGCGGTGTTTACACACCGCACCAGGTACTCATTTGAGGCTGAGTCGACCTAGGGGAGGCCCAGGACCGTTTCAGATAATCGTAAGCGGGAATCTAAACCAGATCGCCGGGTTCATAGTGCAGCGCGCTAACCACTACACTGCCGCTCCCCACGACAGTGACACACGCACACACATCCACACACCTCGCCAGCAGTAACTCTCACACCTCCGTCTGTCCGTGCCCCCCCACCTCCACTCCCCCCCCCCTCTAACATTCCAGGCCTGTCGAACATCATCGGCATCATCGTGTACATCTCGAGCAACGCGGGCGACCCCAACATGAGCGACCCGAAGAACAAGAACTACTCGTACGGCTGGTCCTTCTACTTCGGCGCCCTCTCCTTCTTCATCGCCGAGACGCTGGGCGCGTGGCTCGTGCACGTCTTCATGGACGCGCACCAACACGCCCTCTCTCAGGCGCTGCCCGGCATCATGCCCGGCATGGGCCTCGGTGTCACGGCCATCGACAGCGACGACTATCTCAAGAAGCCCTCTTCCTCCTCCGCCTCCATGGCGGCCGCTTCGTCATCCGCGGCCGCAGCCGCCGCGGCTGCCCAGGCGATGGCAGCCGGAGGAGGCATCGGAGGAGGAGGAGGTGCGGGCGGGATGGGGGTGGCGGGGATGCGACTGCCCAGCTACCGCTGGCGCTCACGCGACCCGTCGCCCGTTGGCTTCAAGCCGCTGAACGCGCAGCCGTCCACGGACACGCTGGCCATGTACACGCTGCCGAGGGACTCCCCGCCGGACTTCAACCCCTTCGTGTCGGGCGGCCAGCAGAGCGGCTCGGGCAGCGGAGCCGGCGGGAGCGGCGGCGGCGGTGGGGTCGGAGGCGCCCCCACGGGCAGCGGCTCCGGCAGCGGCACGGGCACCGCGGCGGAGATGTTCGCCGTGCAGAACTGCCTGCGCAGCGAGCTCGAGGAGACGCTGTTCGGCTCGGCCGCCAACCGCAGGACGACGCCCGTGTGAGCGGGGAGCGGTGGCGGTGGTGGTGACGATGGTGGTGAGGAGGTGAGACGGGCTCTGGTTGCGCGCGCGTGGAGTGGCAGGGGGGGAGCGGTGGTGCAGCGGTTAGCGTCTCGCTTCGCAACGAAACCCTGGAGGCCGAGTTCGATTCCCGCTCACGACCAGATAACAGTGTCGATTATTTGAACCGGTTCTGAGCCTCCCCTAGGTCGACTCGGCCTCAAATGAGGACCTTTCGCGATGTGTGAACATCGGCACTATGGAGGCAAAGGCGGTCGGGCGTGGTGCTGGCCACCCACCTCCCTCGCGTACCGTGCCGGCCTTCATAGGTGCTACTCGCTAACAGCACTTGCCCCAACCGTCTGTGAAGGCTATACGGGAGATCTTTTTATTTGTGGCGCAATGCATGGGAGACGACGTGGAAGGACAGGAGGTAGCGACGTGGACGTTTCACTCCGAACGCATTTTGCTCTGGTAACTCAGTAAATCATATGTACGTACCGCCTTGGTTTTTCTGGGGGAATGTAATAGACATCTGCCACTCAATGTTAGCGATCGTGATCATCAGCCACGGTCAATCCACTGCTAAGCCGCCGCCACTGTCTATGTATGTACGTTGAACTTCGATCGCACCGTACGTAACCCACCGTGCTAATAACGATACCCTGCAAATGTCCCCCGTGAGAAAAAAACAAAATAAATATTTCTAAAAAGCTCGTCACACACACACACTGCGGTCGTAATATATAAGACGTTCTCCCAACGTTTTTCTTTAGAATATAGGGATGTGGGGTTCCGGCGACGGCGCGAGGGGGGGCAGGAAGAGGGGGGTGGGGGGGCAGAGAGGGAGGGTGGTGGGGGGGCAGGGAGGGGGGGGCGAGCAGGGAGGGGGTGGTGGGATGGCAGTGCGTCTTACAATCCCTAAAATGTGGTCAAAGCCAAATCCGTGGCAAAGTTGAAACACCCCGAACGGCAGCACAGCTGTCGAGGGAGGGGAGGGGGTCACAGTGCCGTGGCCCGCTTAGAACGTCGTCATTCTGAAATGCTCATCCAGTTCTCTGGGGCGTTCACCCTCGCTGTGGCTCGTATGGCGCACATTTAAAATCGAATCAAATATCTCCCTCTGCCTCGCTCGCCTCTGCACGCACTACTCTCTCTCTCTCTGTTCAATTAACGTCCGGACGCCTCGGGGTGGGGGCGAATTGGATGATGGGGGGGGGGGGGGGCTTTGGTGTTACGCATGCGTGCATGTAACGTGGGCATGCGAGATATTAACCAAAGCCAAGGTTCCATAGCTCCGCGAGAGATTTCGGGGTTTTTTTCAAAAAAAAATGTTCTTTCTTATTTTGCGATAATCACAAATTGGACGCTGGTATTTGTATGGTTACGGTTGTTTACGCAGGGTGAAACCTCACTGAGTCTCATGACTCTCTTGCAGGAGGACGCTGCCGAGTTGCATTTTATTACTAGGCTGTGCTGATCGCCATACTGTGTATATTTTATATCTCAATTGAGTCATGTTGCGGGGTACATATTTACATTTTGGCAAAACGTGTGTGTGTGTGTGCCATGACCCCGGCACACAATAGCCTACTCTTGCGCATGATGTCACGGGATCTATTAAAGTTCACTGTGAATCAGACACGGCAGTATTAACCAGGGCGGCCAACTGGATAGCGTACACGGGGAAGCAAAGACACGAGGGTGAAAACGCTGGCTTTGGGGGTTCCCGGACGTACGGCGCGAAAGAAGTTCAACGCACAAGTGCATGCATACACCCCGGCCGCCTGAGTTCGACTCCTTGGCTCGTGAATCGCGACAATTCTTAGGATCGCTGGGCGCAGGAGGGGGCTCGAGACGGATGGAGACGATGACACGCAAAGCTGAGCAGTCGTTCGAGGGCCTGCGCCATGAAGCCTGGTCCACCCGAGTTCGATTCCCAACAGCGGTGAGCAGCATCGGTGTGGCGAGAGATATCAGGACCGGTCATTGAGAAACCCCCGTCTCTCCCCACTTGGCAAACCCGCGCTGACCAGCGCGGTGAAGTATGGTTGAAGCAACGCGCGTGTCCGAGGTGCCGCGGGGGAGGCCCTTCATCCAGCAGTAGATCCAACCGATGTGTGCGCAGCGTAGCAATGACTGTGAAACGCGCGCGAGGAGTAACCCGGTGCCTGTGTCTATCTTCCCTGCAGAGCCACTCGTCTCGCCACGCGGAGGAGAGAGTCGTGGGGGGCGGGAGGCGGCGGTGGGGGGGCAGGGGTGGGGGTCCCAGGTGGAGCTGGGTCACATGACAATCCTCCCATCGCGCTCAGGGAAATCCTCAGCCCCCAGCGTGGAGCCGACCCGAGCTCCGTCCCACCGCCCCACCCACCTCTGTCCACCTCCATCATCCGTGCCGGCTTCACCAGCCCTCCCCGGCCCCCCCACCGAGGGTCCGCGGGTTTGACTCGGGGGGTGCCGGGTAGGCACGCGGGGTGGTGGGGGGGCAACCGCCACGGCTTCGGGGCAGTGAGCGGCTCCGAGGGTGGTCGAGAAGGGCTCCTTGTCCCGGGGGAAGAACGAACGACCGAAGAAACGAAATGAAAGTGTTCGCGCTCCACGATGAGGTTGAGATGGTTCCTGGCCCTGAAAACCCAACGTCCTACTCCCTGATCCTCGTCCTGCCCTGCCCGCACCGAACCCAACTCCGTCGACCTCTGCCCGCGTCGCGCGTAACGCGCAAGCGAGCGCAGCGCAGCGCAGCGCCGACTCTGACCGCTCGGAACTCCACGCAGTGCTTTGCACAGCAGTAGTAATTGACCAACCACTCAGTGTGTCACTTTCTCTCTCTCTCTCTCCTGTCTCAGTCTCTAGCATAGCCACCTCCCCCCCTAATCCGTGTTATCCATCGCCCCCTTCCTCCCTCCGTCCGTCCCCTCGTCGCTGTTTACACGTGACAGACGCGCGCCGCGCGCTCTGCGATGATGCGAGCTGAGTTCCTCTGCGCCGTTGGTACCAATCGAGTTCGTGAAGTTTGCACCCCCCTCCTTCTCCTTCCCCTGCGCCAACAAAAAAATGTGATCACTCTCTTTCTGCTGCTGCTGGTAGTGGTGGTGGTGGAAGCCCGAGAGATAGAGAGAGGGAGGGGCAGGGTGGTGGCTGAGACGTGAGTGGATGGACGTGCTGTGACGCGCACTGACCCACAGTGGAATACGGAGCCGCGTGTTTACTCCGCAAGAGAAGGGCTCCCCCCCCCCCCCCACGTGTTCCTCCGACTCGAGGAGGTTGGGGCTGACGGAAGAAGAAGCAGCGAGCGAGTGACGGCGCCTGGACCCAAACAATTGAGCCCCCCCCGCCCACCCCTTCCCTTACAGGGCGCCGAGTGAGTCAAAGCCAAAAAAAAAAGATATATAATAATATATTATTTTATGCTAAACATTATTATAAAGAGGATATTCATATACTTCATCTGCAAATTGTACTTTGATCTCTATGATGTGTAACAACAAAAGAGAACACGTTGTATAACCTGTAGGGCGTAGACGATTCGTGGTGTGATGCCTTCCGTGTTTACTGTGTGTCCACGTGTCACCCGCGCATGTTATTCCTGTAACCGAGCCACACCACTGTCTTGCATGTTGGTGATGACTTTCCTGTGGGCGATGCCATATTCCGTTCCTGTGTTGTACCGGCAAGCGGTGTAGTGATGGGAACTGTGAGCCGGAGTGCGTGTGTGTAAGTCTGTGTGTGTGTGGGGAGCGGTGGCGTAGCGGTTAGCGCGCTGCGCTATGAACCCGGCGACCAGAGTTCGATTCCCGCTCACGGCCAACACCAGTGACGATTATTTGAACCGGTCCTGGGCCTTCCCTAGGTCGACTCAGCCTCGAATGAGTATCTGGTGCGGTGTGTAAACATCGCTACTAGGGAGACAAAGGCGGTCGGGCGTGGTGCTGGCCACCCACCCCCTCGTGTACCGTTCCGGCCTTCATAGGTGCTCGCTAACAGCACTTGCCCCTACAGTCTGTTAAGGCTATACGGGGGATCTTTGTGTGTGTGTGTGTGTATGGGGAGCGGTGGTGTAGCGGTTAGCGCGCTGCGCTACAAATCCGGCGACTCGAGTTCCGACTCCTGCTCGCGGCCAACACCAGTGACGATTATCGGAACCGGTTCTGGGCCTCCCTTAGGTCGACTCAGCCTCAAATGAGTACCTGGTACGATGTGTAAACATCGTCACTGGGGAGACAAAAGCGGTCGGGCGTGGTGCTGGCCCACCCACCCCCTCGTGTACCGTTCCGGCCTTCATAGGTACTCGCTAACAGCACTTGCCCCAACAGTTGGTTAATGCTATACGGGGGATCTTTGTCTTGTGTGTGCGCGCGTCCGTTAGAGCACTTCCCCAACTATGTCGAGGTTTTCTTTTTTTAGGGGGGGAGGGGGGGAGGTGGGGGGAGAGGAACCGCGGCTCTCAGATCGCTCGCTGAGCCGCGCATCGCTCCACCGGAGCGGAGAGCACCCGCCACCATCGAAGCGATCCGTCTCCCCCATGTGTCCGTCGACCTGCCGCGTATCTCACAAAGGGCTCCCGGTGTAGGCAGAGAGCGTGCCGGGACCACGGACTTGGCAGCGGGCATTGGTGGCGTTGGTGGCGACGGTCGGAAATCCTCCTGGGGACTGAGTGAAACTTGGAGAGCGAGCCTGGTTGACTCGTGGAACGATCAACCATCGATCTGCATCATCGTCGTCGTCCTCCTGATGACGACTACCCCCTCGTGTCCTCCCGCGCTCGCCCCCGTGTTGCTGTGCACCTTGCGCTCAGAAACCAAAGCTGGGGTGGGCATTCGTGTGCGTACAATATACAAGTATTTATTATATTATATCCGTTCATATAATGATAATAACAATGCACCGACTATGGTGGGAAACTGTGAATTGACGACGATGGTACGGGGGAGATAGTAAAAAAATACGTATGAAATGCAAAAATGACGTCTTTCAAAAAAAATCGATTGCTGGTTCTACCTTGTGGTGTGGAGGTGAAGAGTCGAGGACGCCCCCACCCCTTCCTCCCCCCTCCCCCCACATCCCCCCACCACACAACCCACACACAACCAACACACGTGTGCGTGTTCTTTGAACGTCCCGAACCTCGCAGTTAAGATCCACGAAATGGCGGTGGGGTGGATCTCGAAGACGTCGCGCGCGAAGTGGTCACCGACATGACAAATGAGCGGAGTCAAAATCGCAGGCACCTTCTGAAGATTCTCCCCTGGAGCTCTGCCCCCCCCCCCCCCGCCTAGGCCACAGCTGTACCCACCTGGGCCACTGCTGTCCCCACCTGGGCCACAGCTGTACCCACCTGGGCCACTGCTGTCCCCACCTGGGCCACAGCTGTACCCACCTGGGCCACTGCTGTCCCCACCTGGGCCACAGTTGTACCCACCTGGGCCACTGCTGTCCCCACCTGGGCCACAGCTGTACCCACCTGGGCCACTGCTGTCCCCACCTGGGCCACAGCTGTACCCACCTGGGCCACTGCTGACCCCCCAGGGGCTACAGCTGCCCCCCCCCGGTCAATGCTGTCCCCACCTGGGCCACTGCTGACCCCCCCAGAGGCTCTGCTGTCCACTACTTTGCTGTCACGAGCTTTGCCCTCCCCGCGTGCCCGTGGCCCTGGTACCATGGCAACAACAACAGCAGCAGCAGCAGCAGCAGCAGCCGGTGGCGTCACTGTTGACCTGAGGTTAGTCCGCAGCTGTAGCCGTGTCGTCGTATAATGAGATTCAGGGGAAATGCGTCAAAATCGCTGAGTTCGCGCCCTCGTATGGGCGACTTTGCCCGAGGGATAGCGACGGGAGGCGGGGGTGGAGTGCGGGGGAGGATGCAGCGGCGATGGTGCTACACCGCACCCGGTCACGAGAGTCTCCGGTTCTCCCCTTCCTCTCCTCCCCCCGCCTCATCCTCCCCGCCCCGCTCGCCTCCCGCTAATTGCCCGAGCCAGGCGTGCGTCTGGGGTCGTGCGGGGTGACACCGCGCGCTCATCGGGCGGACAGGCGAGAGGATCTCGCGGTGGGTGTGAAAATGTGGAGCGGTGTGGGACTCACGAAGCCCGAACGGGGGCGGCGGTCCTCGGAACCCGTCGTGACGATCGCTGCGACGACAACACCGGCAATAAACGAATAAATTAAAATAAATCATAAAATAATGCTATAAAATATCAAGACGCTGTCTCCCCGACATACCTGGTCTTCACCTGAGGACGGCTACTTGCGTTGTGGCCGAAACGTCGTGAGAATTATTTTATTGTGTTTTATTGTATTACTTTATTATTTCCATTCTACGTGACTTTACCGAAAGAACCAAGAAGATGAATCCCTGCAGTCACGAAAGCTTTAAATGAAAATAAATCAACGACGGCGATCTAAAATTGAGGGGCGCTACTCCGCCAGGTCGCCCCAAATCGCCGTCGTTCTCCATCAACGGTAGAACGACATTCGCGCACCGGCGAGAGGTCGTCAATTCGATCCGGTGAGGTGTTGGCGCGCCTCGTGCGTGCGCACGCAAAGCCGATTCATCAACTAACCCCCACGCCACCCCCAGCCTGTGAGAGTCAAGGAGCTGTAATTAGCGACGCGGACACGCGCCGCGCGTGCACGGCGCGAACTGTTTCTCGATCGCCGCGACGTCGGGCGTTGGAGAGTCGCCACATCCCCCCCCCCCCTCCCTCCCCACCCACCCCGGGGCCCGGTCTGAACCGTGCGGCCGGTGGCACCCGGGTCAGTCCGCTCGTCGTGTGCCCTCTCTGTGTGCGCGCGTGTCCTGGTCGTACGACGGACTGTTAAACGGTTCCGCGGACGATGTGCCGCCGAGGTCACGTGCAGCAGCCCTTGTTGTCAACACGCTGCTGGATAACGGGAAGCGGAAGGTGCTTCCGATGGCGCGCGGGGGGTCGTGTGGATGGGATCGTGTGAACGTCATGCTGGTCAGTGCGGATTGGTGAGAGCGGGTCGCATAGATGTGTCACAGTACAGTACAACAACGCGTGTGTTTGCACTGCTCTACGCCGCCTACAGCGTCTGTTTGTTCGCACGGCGCTCGCCCGTCGGAACGACCCTCCCCGATCTCGCCAACCCGGCTTCATCTGCTTGAGATCTGAATGAGGAGACGGAGCGTGTTGTTGCGCACGTTTGGTCGATTTTGGCACGGGCCGACACTCGCAGCGGGCTTAGTTAAAACAACAAAACGAAACTAAACAGAAATCCGCGTCGACTGCCGCCCCCGTGACGATTGCGGTGGTGGCTCTGGCGAGTTAACGCAGGAGGTTAATTTCAATACAAATTAAAATCCCATGAATAATTCACGCTCCGCGCGCCCCGCGAGCCACGTTTGCAAAGCGCACTGGGGCCTGGCTGACGCGCCGCCCCTCGCACGATGTATTCATTCCCCATCGTCAAGCGTCAACATCGTCAGCCATGGTCCATCCACTGCTAGACGAAGACCTCCCTTCTCACGTGTCCGCCACCACCTCTCACGATCCTGTGATGTAACAATGCTCCGCCTAACGGAGCGTGCGCGCTCTCTCGTTCATTTGGCCACTTGCGCTAATTCGCCTGTTCGAGCGCAAACATTCAGTCCTCTCCCAGAGCAATCAGCGCCCGGGGGGGAGGGGTGGGGGGTGCTGGTGGGTACGGGGGCCTGGTTATCGCGAGGGGGGGCGGGTGGGGAGTTGTGGGGGAGGGGGTGAGCGGGTTTGGGGTGAGAATCCTGGGCGGTAGTGGAGGTGATGTGGGGTGGATGACACTCACGATTTATAACCCCCGCGCGCTGTGTTCCTGCCTCCAATTGTCCTACCACCCACTATTTTTTTATTTTGACCGCGCTCGATGATAGGGAGTTCTCTCCCTCCCTCTCTCTCTATGTAATAACGCGCGCGCGGGTAACCATAATAATACCATTGTTAATAACAACAGCAGCCGCGGTATAGAAATAAAATCCATCGCGTTACATAAAACATGAACGCGGTGATGCTGTGTGCGGGGAAGGGAGCGGTCACGATAGATGAATACAAGGGGTCATGAGCCCCCCCCCCCCCCGCGGTGAGGGTGGGGGGGGGAAAGGGGGTTTGGTTGTGTGGGGGAGGGAGGGAGAGAGATAGGCGGAGGGGGTGGGGGGTGTGCGACAGAGGGGGGGGGGAGGTGCAGACAGTTACGTAACACTCATCGGATGAACATTCCCCGAAGCTCGCAACGATTTACGTTGCGAACGAAGCGAAAATACCACTTGAGATGCGTCACGCGACCGACCGCTCGGTGTCCCCTGCCACGTGCTCCCCGCGGTGGCCTCGTCTCGTGCCGCGTGCCACGCGGGCGACTCGGCCACGCGGCTGCGCGGTGTCTCTTCTCGTGCCACGTGAGCGACTTTGCCACGTGTCCCCCCCCCCCCCCGGTGCCGCCCCCTACGTAACGCGCCGCTGTTCACGTGGCCTCATTAGGCCGCTTTGTCGCACCTTGTCCACCTGGGGAGGAGGGAGGTGGGGGAGGTGGAGGAATGTGGGGGGGGGAGTAGGGGTAGGGGGGGAGGTGGAGGAACGTGGGGGGGGGGAGTAGGGGTAGGGGGGGGAGGTGGAGGAACATGGGGGGGGAGTAGGGGTAGGGGGGGAGGTGGAGGAACGTGGGAGGGGAGTAGGGGTAGGGGGGGGAGGTGGAGGAACATGGGGGGGGGGAGTAGGGGTAGGGGGGGAGGTGGAGGAACGTGGGGGGAGGGGTAGAAGGGGGGGGGAGATTTGCAGCACGCGCGGAGCGGAGGGGGGAGGGGGACATCCAGCGAAGGCTTTACCGCATGGAATGTAATTGCGAGGATGAGGAATGATCGGATTGTTCTGATTTATTATTACTACCCGATGGCATTTAAAGTTATTATTATTATTATTAATAAAAGCCGATGTAAAGGGAATACAAGAGCCTTGCGCGTGTTTGTGGTGAGCGGCCGTGTCCGCGTGGGATGACCTCCCCCGGCAGTGAGAAGCAGGATGCTGCCACCGTGGGGAGGGGGGGGGGTGGACGTGATCAGCACGCTGAACTTGCAATCGACAGGTCACCGGATCGATTTCCCGACGCGGCATTTGACTAACACCGCAGTATAAATGAGGGCAGCATAGTGCTCAGGGGTCCGGCAGGTCGCTTGCGGTGTGGATAAAGTGTGCGCTACTCTCCAACCTCTTCTTCCAACACCGGGGAAGAGTAGGCCAAAAGAGACCCCCACGACTCAACGGAGAGTTTTCGAGAGACGTCACTCGTAATGGAGGCGCCTCCACCAGCAGTGGCGTGGGCAACAATTGGCGCCTTTATCATTTGTACAATTTGTGGGGAGGAGAGGGGAAAGAGAAAACGTCGTTTTAGATTTGACCAGGTAAGGCCCGCTGAGCTAGATGGCTCTTAATCAGAAGCGATCTGGCTATCGTGAATGATAGCTCAACGATGTGGCTTATCGCGTGAAAATGTATTGCAGCCAAATGTTCTAGATTTGAAGCTTTCCTGACTGCAAGTATTCATATTCTTAGGTTTTTTTCGGTAAAGTCACGTAGGTAAAAAATTTCAATTAATAAAAGTAAAATAAAAAATAAAATAAAAATCACGATGTTTCGGCAGCACGATAGCTGTGACGGTTCCACCTGAAGACGGAAGCTTGTGTTGCCTCCGAAACGTCGTGATTTTTATTTTTTATTTAACTTTAATTAATTTTATTTTTTTACCTACGTGACTTTACCGAAAAAACCTAAGAAAATGCATCCAAATGCTCTAAGCACGTATGTCTGAAAGTGTGGAGGGGGGGGGGGGAACCCGAGGACCCGGAGAAAAAAAATCCACGCGGCCACGGGGAGAGCATGCAAACTCCACATATACAACAAGCGTCAGGGTTGGGATCGAACCCATGGCTGTATGCCAGGTTTGTGATGGTGCATCGATTGGTCTGTTCATACGGATTATTTCGTGAGCGAGCATATGTGATTATGGGTGAGCGTGGATGAGTGGGTCAGAGTGAACGTGGGTGATTGTGGACGAGTGGTTGTCAGCGTGTGGATGGAGGTGATGGTGAGCAATGGTGCTGAGTGGGAGAATGCAGTGAATTGGTGAAGCGTGGGTGAGTGAGAGTGGGTGAGCGTGGGTGAGTGAGAGTGGGTGAGAGTGGGTGAGCGTGGGTAAGCGGGTGCGTAAACATTAGCAGTCGAGAGACAAAGGCGGCCGGGCGTGGTGTTGAACCCACACCCCTCGTATGCGTTGCCGGCCATCAAAGGTGATCACTAACAGCACTTGCCCCAGCAGTCTGTTGAGGCTATAGGGGGATCTTTGCTACGCCCCCACACACTCGCTGCGTGCTCACACACACTCGCTGTACACACACTCACTCGCTGTACACACACTCACTCGCTGTACACACACTCACTCGCTGTACACACACTCACTCGCTGTACACACACACCACACACTCACTCGCTGTGCACACACACACTCGCTGTACACACACACTCGCTGTACACACACACCACACTCTCACTCGCTGTATACACACACACACTCGCTGTACACGCACTCACTCGCTGTACACACACTCACTCGCTGTACGCACACTCACTAGCTGTACACACACTCACTGGTTGTACACACACACTCACTCGCTGTACACACACACTCCCTGTTAGCCGTGGCGCGGAATCGCGGCTCCGGTCACCAGGGTTCATAGCACACTGCGTCAACCACTGCGCCACCGCTCCACCCACGCTCGTGAATTATTCGCCCTTAAATAGCGCTACGTCTTTAGGAGGTGCTCGTCGCACGTCGGGACGCGTTCTGCAAATCCGGTGCCACTCACAAGTACGGGCAGGGAGACAGCGAGGAGGAGGAGATGGGTGATTATGATGATTGCATTGTATGTGCGCGCACGTGCGCAAAATAATGTGGAGCGGTGGCGCAGTGCATAGCTCACTGAGACATGAACCCAGCGACACGCGTACGATTCCCCGCTCGCTCACAGCCAACGTCGGAGGCGAATCTCTGAACCGGTTCTGGGCCTCCGCTAGGTCGGCTCAGCCCTAAATTAGTAACTGGTGACGTATGTTAACGTCAGCATTGGGAAGACAAAGACTGTCTGGCGGTGATGCTGACCCTCGTGTGCCGCAGTGGCCTTCATAGGTGCTCGCTAACAGCACTTGCCGCAAACAGCCTGTGAAGGCTATACGGGGGATCTTTGTTGTTGTCTTCTGTTACAGATGTAGAACAATGCCGGCATTGAAACCGCACTTGGTTCGCAGGATAATCTCCTGCACATGGACCCCGACCACCCGTGGGGCCAATTATTTAGAGATCTCAGTCTCTGTACATGGCAACTAATGATAATTATCTAATAATGTCAACGTGTTGCACGGCGCCCACCGCACAGTGATGGCTCGCTCTCGTAGAGAGAGAGAGGACGACTCAGAGAGTGATGACGGCTCAGAGAGAGAGAGAGAGAGAGGACAACTCAGAGAGAGAGAGAGGACGACTCAAAGAGAGAGGACGACTCAAAGAGAGAGGACGACTCGGAGAGAGAGAGGACGACTCAGAGAGAGAGAGGACGACTCAGAGAGAGAGAGGACGACTCAGAGAGAGAGGACGACTCAGAGAGAGAGGACGACTCAGAGAGAGAGAGGGCGACTCAGAGAGAGAGAGGACGACTGAGAGAGAGGACGACTAAGAGAGAGAGGACGACTCACAGGCGCCAGGCGGAGGAGTTGGAACCAGAGACGACCAGAAACGCCAAGGCAGCAGCAGCAGCGAATCGTCATCAACACCTGCCCAAGCTCTGCAGTCCCCTCTACATATATGGAGGTGCGCTCGGCTATTCTGTGCTTACCTGTCGGAGGAAACCGGAGCGACCGGTAGAAAAACCCCCACGCGTGCGAGGGGGAAGCACGCGATCCCGCACACGCGGAGCAGATGGAGTCCCGCATTTTGTCTCCCGGCACCTCCCCGACGCCCACGGTTTGAGGGAGTTTCTCGACATTTGTTTGCGACGATCCCACACGTGGGTGACTTGCCTCCACAGTGCCGCATTACAGGCAGCTGGCGTGCGAGCGGCACAGCCAACATCGCCAGGACGGATTATGCGATAGCTTCGTTCATTTGCATCATTCACTCTCATCGTGCGATGAAAAGATGATGACGCAACTCGTGTTTTGGATATCAACGATCACGATCTTTTCGTCTGGGCCCATGTATGTATTTTTTATTTATTTTTTGTATTCCCTTCTACGTGACTTTACCGAAAGAACCAAGAAGATATTGTATGTATGTGTGTGTTGGACTTCTTTCGCACCGTACGTAGCCAACCGCGCTAATCGGAGGTGCGGGGGGAAGGACAACAAACGGAACACAATAAGCGGTTCTAAAGAGATGTGTTTTCAATCGAGATTTTAAAAGTGCATAGCTCCAGTGGCGTCCTAATATTGGAAGGGAGGAACGTTCCAGACGGCCTTAGAAGCGCACCTGAAAAGCGCACCGAACGTCTCGCTGTCATCTCACGGGGTACGGGTTAAACACCTATACCGGACGCTGCAGGTAATTTAATTACAGGACCCATTTAGGGGAATATTAATGAGGGCGTCTCAACGCAACCGTGGCGGTGGTGCACGTGTTAGCGCACTGCGCTACCAACTCTGTCAAAACGTTCGCAGCTAACATCAGTGGGAGATCTTGATTTGAAGCTTTCGTGACTGCAGGAATCCATACTCTTTGTTCTTTCGGTAAAGTCACGTGGGTAGAAAAAAATAATAAAAGAAAACACGACGTTTCGGGCGCTTGTGTTACGAACGAAACGTCGTGTTTTCTTTTCTTATATTTTTTCTCTCTCTACCGAAAGAACCAGAGGGTGTCAGTGAGAGACTTTTCTTTTTGCCTGAGTCGGTCATTGCCCCCCACCACCCCCCTTCATTCAACCCGCACTGACCAGCGTGGTGAAGTATGGTCAAACTAACCCCGCCGTTTGCCGACACGGCCTTTTGGGGGGAGGCCTTCCTCCAGCAGTGGATTGACAAAAGGGCTTTGAATCATCCTGTGGATTCGAGAATGTACAGTAATTAACCAGTCCAGTATCATGACCAACACGCATTATTTGGCGAAGCTGCTGTGATGGTAGTAGTGCACAAAGCGCGGTTTAATAACGCGAAATATAAACGGGAGGGGGGGGTGGTCTTCAAAGTGTATAACAGGTAACGTTTCGGGCAATGGCCCTTCTTCATAGCACATGGAGAGGCCAGAGAGGGGGGATACAAATCAAGGTATACAAAACAAAATTAATTTAAACAACTTTTTTTAATCAATGGGTGGTGGGTTTTTTAGCCCACCAGGTTTGAAATTGTGTGTGTACACACGCGTTCATTACGAGTGTTCTATTTATAGGACAACTTACACCCTCGGACTCTTTTGCAACCGAGGTGTTTCATTAGAAGGGATTATCCGGCTGATATATTTGAGTAAATACGATTTCACAGACGTATATCTTGTACTTCACAGCAGCGCTTCACAACAGATAGTAATGACGCTGCTGCTGCTGTTGCTGCAACTGCTGTTGTTACTACTGCCACTGCTGCTGTTACTACTGCTGATACTGTTGCTGCTGCTGTTGCTGCTCCGACTGATGTTGTTGCTACTGCTGCTGCTACTGTTGCTGCTGCTGTTGCTGCTGCTGTTGCTGCTGCGACTGATGTTGTTACTACTGCTGCTGTTACTACTGCTGCTGCTACTGTTGCTGCTGCGACTGATGTTGTGCTACTGCTGCTGCTACTGTTGCTGCTGCTGTTGCTGCTGCGACTGATGTTGTTACTACTACTGCTGCTACTGTTGCTGCTGCTGTTGCTGCTCCGACTGATGTTGTTACTACTGCTGCTACTATTGCTGCTGCCAATGCTGTTGCTACCGTTGCTGCTGCTGCTTCTTCTTCTGTCGTACGGAATGTTCTGGGGACTGCAACAGATCATAAATCGATGTCGAGATTTGTGATCCCAATTCGACTGCTTCAGGAGTAGCCGTGTGGATTTGTTTCAGATCGCCAGTGAATGATCCAATTTGGGCAGCCGCTTCGTGTTCTATGTATGGAGGAAGTGTCCCAAACATCTTCCATGGGGTGTCCGGAGACGATCCAAGGAGGACCAGCGTCTTCCTCGGTAGGTCACATCCTGGCTGAAGGATTGTGGAGTCGCTGACGATGAATTCGCTGCTGAAGATACTCGATAAGAATGTTGCTGCCCTTGCTGCTGCTGCTGCTGCCCGAGCTCATGCTGCTTCTGCTGTTGCTGCTACTGCCCTTGCTGCTGTTGCTGTTGCTGCTGATGCCTTTGCTGCTGCTGTTGCTGCTACTGCCCTGGCTGCTGCTGTTGCTGCTGCATTTGCTGCTGTTGCTGCTGCTGATGTTGCTGTTACTGCCCTTGCTGCTGCTGCTGTTGCTGCTGCTGTTGCTGCTGCTGTTGCTGCTGTTGCTGCTGCTGTTGCTGCTGCTGCTTGTTGTTGGTGCTGCTGCTGTTACTGCTTCTATTGCTGTTGCTGCTTCTGTTGATACTACTGCTAATTGTTGGTGCTGCTGCCAGTGCTGTTGCTGCTGTTGCTGCTGCTGCTTTTGCTGCTGCTGTTGTTGGTGTTGTTGCTGTTGCTCCTGTTGCTGCTGCTGCTGTTGCTGCTTCTGTTGCTGCTGCTGTTGCTGCTGTTGCTGTTGTTGGTGTTGTTGCTGCTGCTGCTGTTGCTGCTGCTTCTGTTGCTGTTGTTATTGCCCTGATTCGACCCGGCCACTCGCGCCCTGCCTCACACTCAAACTCGATGCCAGAAATAGCATCATTCGGGCATCGTACTACTACTATACTATTAGCTATGTTTTATTTTGCCAGATAAGGCCCCACTGAGCTATAGACATCTTTTTCACAAGCGACCTGGCCACACATTATAGCTCGAAGCGGCTTATCGTGTGGAAATATAGAGGAGCCAAAAACTCTAAAACGCGTGACGTTGATTCTAAATGTGGAGGGGTGGGGGGAAACCGGAGGAACCGGAGGGAGATATAGAAACACGCCAACTCCAAATATACAGCAGCAGGTATCGCCCGGGTCGAGATCGAACGCACGACCTCCTGTATACCAGGCGAGGTAGTTAACATCTCCTAGCCACCACAGCACCGCGCAAATGCCCTCTCATCGGAAGAATGATTCCTGGATGGTGGTGGAGGTTGTGATGGACACGAGGTTGTGATGGACAAGAGGTTCCGCAGCGGAAGTTGTCGTCCCGCTATACAGGACGGACGACACCCAGCGGCCGACTCGTGACACGCGGGGCAAGTTGATCCACGCTGCTTGTCGTCCGTTAGCGACAAACAACAACAACAACAAGACTGCGATGGAGTGACGTCACGTCAATGCCATAGTGACGCACCCCGTTCTCCCACTCTCACGCCCTGCCCCACCTACCCCCTCCCCCTCTCACGCCCTCCCCCTCTCACGCCCTCCCCCTCTCACCCCTCCCACCCCCACCCCCTCTCACCCCCTCCCCCTCTCACGCCCTCCCCCTCTCACGCCCTCCCCCTCTCACCCCTCCCACCCCCACCCCCTCTCACCCCTCCCACCCCCACCCCCTCTCACCCCCTCCCCCTCTCACGCCCTCCCCCTCTCACGCCCTCCCCCTCTCACCCCTCCCACCCCCACCCCCTCTCACCCCTCCCACCCCCACCCCCTCTCACCCCCTCCCCTCTCACGCCCTCCCCCTCTCACGCCCTCCCCCTCCCACCCCCGCCCCCTCTCACCCCCCCCCTCTCTCCCCCTCCCACCCCCTCCCCCTCTCACGCCCTCCCCCTCTCATGCCCCCCCCCCCTCTCACGCCCTCCCCCTCCCACCCCCGCCTCCTCTCCCGCCTTCCCCCTCTCACCCCCTCCCCCTCCCACCCCCTCCCCCTCTCACGCCCTCCCCCTCTCACCCTCCCCCTCTCACGCCCTCCCCCTCTCACGCCTCCCCCCTCTCACGCCCTCCCCCACTCACGCCCTCCCCCTCCCACCCTCTCACCTTCTCCCCCCTCTCACCCCCTCCCCCTCCCTCCCCCTCTCACGCCCTCCCCCTCCCACCCCCTCCCCCTCTCACGCCCTCCCCCTCCCACCCCCTCCCCCTCTCACGCCCTCCCCCTCCCACCCCCTCCCCCTCTCACGCCCTCCCCCTCCCACCCCCTCCCCTTCTCACCCCTCCCCCTCTCACGCTGAACCCCGCAGGCGGCAGGGGCCAATGTCAGGGCGAGGCGAGGCGCTCCTCCCGCGGGAGCGATTTGTTCCCAGCTCGAGTGCGAGCAACAATTACCCCGGGCCAACACCGACACAAAGCCACAGGCAGAGAGCCCCCGAATAGCCTTCAACAGACTGTGGGGCAAGTACTCTTTGCGAGCACCTATTATTATTATTAAAGGGCGGCACAGCACGCGACAAGGTGGGTGGCCAACACCACGCCCGCCCGCCTTTGTCTCCCCAGTACCGGACTGATGTTTTGCGCGCCGTACCAGGTATTCATTTGAGGCTGAGTCGATCTAGGGGAAGTACAGGACCGGTTCAAATATTTGTGTTCACTGTCATTGGCCGTGAGCGGCGATATGACTCGGGTCACCGGGTTTGTAACGCAGAGTGCGCTCACCACTACAAATACAAAGATCCCCCGTGTAGCCTGAACAGACTTTTGGGGCAAGAGTTGTTAGCGAGCACCTGTGAAGGCCGGCACGGCACAAAAGGGGGGTGGGAGGCCAGCACCATGCCCTGCCGCCTTTGTCTCCCGAGTGGCGATGTTTTACACACACACGCCACCAGGTACTATTTTGAGGCTGAGTCGACCTAGGGGATGCCCAGGACCGGTTCAGATAATCGTCTCTGGTGTCGGCCGTGAGCGAGAGTCGAACTCGGATCGCCGGGTTCCATTACACACACACTCATAGACTTGAATCGGCATACTGTATTTATATCATACATTGACACATAACAATAACAACAACAATAACCGCCGTTCGCCACTAAGTGTCGGTGACGCCCCAAAGGCGCTTGTGCCAGGCTAGGTGCACCCTGAGGCCACGGCAAGTGGCGAAGGCTCGCTGACAGGAGGTCACGACAGTGACCGAGATAACCGGCAGATGCCCCCGAGCTGCGCTCCCCATTGTGCCAACTGCGTTTTATCCCACCCCTGCGCTCCGCCCGTTGTTGTGAGCGTCGCTCTTCTGCCCTCCTCTGCGACTGCCTTCAACTGCCCAGCAGCAGCAGCAGCGTCCATCACGAGCCTCCTCCACAGAGGCCGATCTTGACACCGCTGGTACCGGTCGTCGGCAAGTCCACTCAGCTCCACATCCTCCCGTGCCGCGTGAGCCCCGTGCCGCTGCCCGTTTAGCCCCCTCTATCGGGCCCATCAGAATCTCACACGTACACGCATTTGCAACAGACACACACTTGCACAATCACACTCGATAAACCCATGAACTCGCATATTCATACCCTGACACGCGCACACACACTGATGCATTTACACACCCCTACACAGCCTCAGACACACACAGACAGTGATGCATTTACACACCCCTACACAGCCTCACTCACACAGACAGTGATGCATTTACACACCCCTACACAGCCTCACACACACACAGTGATGCATTTACACACCCCTACACAGCCTCACACACACAGACAGTGATGCATTTACACACCCCTACACAGCCTCACACACACACAGTGATGCATTTACACACCCCTACACAGCCTCACACACACACAGTGATGCATTTACACACCCCTACACAGCCTCACACACACACAGTGATGCATTTACACACCCCTACACAGCCTCACACACACACAGTGATGCATTTACACACCCCTACACAGCCTCACACACACACACAGTGATGCATTTACACACCCCTACACAGCCTCACACACACACAGTGATGCATTTACACACCCCTACACAGCCTCACACACACACAGTGATGCATTTACACACCCCTACACAGCCTCACACACACACAGTGATGCATTTACACACCCCTACACAGCCTCACACACACACAGTGATGCATTTACACACCCCCCCACAGACTCAGACACACACAGACAGTGATGCATTTACACACCCCTACACAGCCTCACACACACACAGTGATGCATTTACACACCCCTACACAGCCTCACACACACACAGTGATGCATTTACACACCCCTACACAGCCTCACACACACACAGTGATGCATTTACACACCCCTACACAGCCTCACACACACACAGTGATGCATTTACACACCCCTACACAGCCTCACACACACACAGTGATGCATTTACACACCCCTACACAGCCTCACACACACACAGTGATGCATTTACACACCCCTACACAGACTCAGACACACACAGACAGTGATGCATTTACACACCCCTACACAGCCTCACACACACACAGTGATGCATTTACACACCCCTACACAGCCTCACACACACACAGTGATGCATTTACACACCCCTACACAGCCTCACACACACACAGTGATGCATTTACACACCCCTACACAGCCTCACACACACACAGTGATGCATTTACACACCCCTACACAGCCTCACACACACACAGTGATGCATTTACACACCCCTACACAGACTCAGACACACACAGACAGTGATGCATTTACACACCCCTACACAGCCTCACACACACACAGTGATGCATTTACACACCCCTACACAGCCTCACACACACACAGTGATGCATTTACACACCCCTACACAGCCTCACACACACACAGTGATGCATTTACACACCCCTACACAGCCTCACACACACACAGTGATGCATTTACACACCCCTACACAGCCTCACACACACACAGTGATGCATTTACACACCCCTACACACGCGCTCACGTCGCTGTCACTGTATCGCTCGTCTTCTCGTTATCCGTGGCCTCTCAGCCGTCGCCTCCACCACCAACTGCCCTGCACATCGCTTTGATTTTGCGTCGTTTCGATATGCGTCGTCTCACCTTTCAGGAACGCATCCCCGACGCAAACCAGGGTATTACTGTGTATATATTTATCCATCCTCAAAGCTGCTGGTATTTAACCAAATTAAGTGCAGAACCAAAGTTCACGCCGATGAGCGGTTTATGTGCAATCGTCGTGACGCCGATGAGATATTCCACCCACTACACTTGAGCACCAGATTTGATCACACTCAGTCTATGTGGGCCTCAGGGTCCTGATGTGAGACGTATGGGTCTATGCGTAAGCCGATGCATGGGTGTCTCTGTGAGTGTAGATGTCTCTATGTAAGTACGCGGGTGGCGGTGTGAGGCTGCGTTAACTTCACTGCACTCGAGCACGCGGCTTAAGCGACGGACGATGGCTGAATTTTTTATTCGAGCCGAGGAAATTCCAGCGCCACCAGATCGGGGGCTCTGACCTCTGAGACACCTCGGGAGCTGGGGGGGCGGGGGGGGTACTGGGGTTGGATCAGATACGCAAACTTGCACGGGACTCAACGCGGTCTCGATCTCTCGATCTATCCACAAAGACCGCGATCATTTGCGAAAAACAACTTCCGACGGAACACTTTGTTCGGGACCCCACTCACGCGGCTGATTGCTGCCACCTGGGACCCACAAATCAGACGCATTGAGACGCGCCTACCTTATTAATAAACCCCCCACCCAACTCCCACCCATCACCCGAGTAGGAAAGGTAACGATGGATGCGGCAAGTGACGCGCGTCCCCCACCCAATCACCCACCCCCCCGGTTCTTCCCCACACGGCGTCTGGGTTTTAATTTAAGACCCGGCTGAGCTCGGATTCGGGGCCTGTTGTATATGTTGGTTATCAAAATTTGTTATGTTGTATGCGTGCGTGGGTGAAATTATTATGTTGTATATGTGGGTTATGAATATTCAGTGAAAATAATAATAATTAAATGAAATTTGGCCAAATGTGTAATTATCCGGAAATATGTTAATTTATGTAATTATGCACATTTTAATTATGCCAATTCGAGAGGTAATCGTATTAATTATGCGAGTGGGTGTAATTATGATAATGCAAGTCGTTATGATAACCAGACCCCGCCTCGGTGACGAGGGTGGGTTATCGATCGGAATAAGGCAATTAATCGTATGCAGTTATGCAGGTGTGGTGTAAGTATGCAAGATTAACTTAGATTAACTCGGCATCGTTGTCTAGGTTCGTCTCATTCTCGCTTTAACATTCCCAGAGTGTGTATTCGTGGTTATATTTTAGGTCCCCGGTTCACCCCGTTATCGCTTTAACATTTACTGAGTATGTATTAGTGTGTTTATTAAGGTCACCAAGTTCAGATCTCAACGCAGAAGCAGATCTTATGCATAGATTTCAGGAAAGAATCACACAACCACTTCTGTATTGATCAATTTATTACTAATTCAACCTTAACTATGATATAGTATGCGAACTCTCAATCCCGGAACGTCAACACGGCATCAATACAGTATCATCAACGATTGTCTGATTTCACTTTGACAACGGCACATGGATCCCGCATAACGCGATGGTTGTTAGTGAGAGAGAGTCGTTAAAATATGCAAATACTATGCTAAGAAAACCTTAACGTTAATGAATGATTATACTCAATATTGTTCACGCAGTACCGCACTCCTTATTGATCATACGCAACCCTTATCACGTTGTTAGCACCTTGGGTCACGGGACAGTTGAATATTCTGTAGAGGATGCGAGTACGTGCGGCGATTATGACTGAAAGATACTTGAAAGATTATACGGCGATAAAAAAACACAATCAAAAACAGTTATTATTCTTAAAGGCACCAATCTCAACAGATACATCGGCAGGTTATCTGACAACAGAACGGCTCGGAGTAAGGGCCTGCGACGGTGCTCCTTTTCCGAAGATCGTTATCTTATACCAAGTTTACTAATTGGGGACCAGATCACCTGATAAGGATCCGGTGGGCCACCACTTCCCACGTGAGCGTGGCTCGGCGGAAGGAGGTGCCAAGAATCAGTTCGTATTGATGGATCTGTTGGGAATTTATGCGATTAAGAGTACAGCCCACTAAATATTAAAGATAAAAATTACGAATACTTTTATAAACGACGGATGGCCATCACTCGGTCTCGTTGTGATGCCTTCCCAGCCACGGATGGCTTATGGGTTCGAGTGTGTTTGAGTGGTAAGAGTTGTCTTGAATAGTCAGTGTTCGGAGTCGATTCTTTATGTCAAACAGACGCCTGGTGGTCGTGTGGTGAGGGGGCGGTGCGCGTCATACGTATCAGTCGCTCCCCTGTCACCGTGGTGAACTGGTTCGGATGCCCGTTGATACGCTGTCGCAGTTCGGAACCCGGTCGGTAGGTGGCGCCCACAACTCGCTCGCAGCGTGCAGTGTTGGGTCGTCGACCAGGGTGTGCACGGAGCCTCGTCGCCAAACCGCGACCCTCACCAGTCCGGCGGCAGCAGAGACCTCCGACTCGGCAGAGGTTGACCCACGCAGGCCGAGTTGAGCTGTCAAGCGGGTCTTGCCCGCCTGCAGAGGAGATGGGGAGCCGCTTGAGTCGAGCCCCGAGAGCCGGCTTTGGTAAGCCGATCGAACTCGGCTGAGTCCCAGACGAGCTG